GCAAAGGAACTTTGCAAGCCTGTATCACATGAACTTCTGGAGCTTTCTTAATCCTTGCAATTTTGTAAGGAGTTGGGCGTCTTTCCGTCTTTAACTTTAGTGCCTTCACCAGTGCTTTGAAAACAACATTCTCACTGCTGCTGCTGTTGATAATGATGTTACATACGTTTTTAGTGATTGTGGGACGGGTGGAAAGGATTTCAATCTTTACCTTTAGTAGAATTAATTTCTTTAGATTGTTTTTGTCGGGCGAGCATGATTATCTTCATATCATGCAACCAATATATATGTGTTGTCTCAGCCTTTGTAAGTAGCATCAATGTTTGGAAAAACCGAGGATTATCTTTCTTCCTGACCAAATAACAATATTGATCATACGCCGACAATTGGATCTGAAAAACATTCCCAAGCATCTGATATAATCACGGGGACAATATTCTTTTAACCAAGTAGTGACAATGAACTTCAAAAAGTTGCAAAAACTACCATAAAATCCACACGAGGAGCCCAGTGCATTAGCACAATAGACTAGCCTGCAGAAAGAAAGGCACTATCATAAGGGAAATAATAGAAAATCAACTCAGCTAATGCTATCCCGGTGAACAATTCTAGCACTCACAGCTCTTCTTCTTCTAATTTATTTATTTATTTTTATGCCTAACAATAAACTAAGAAGTGCAGATATCACTGAATTGAACCTTTATACTGCTGCCATTGTTTTGGTGTGTGTTAATTGCAAAAATGGACTGTGCATTTTGGATTAATGAGTTTGGTTATGGTTTTGACGCGAGGGTATGTTGATGGATGGAGAGGTGGAAAGGACAAGTTGAGGGGGATCAAATTCTACAAATTTTGTTGGCTAAAGAAAATGGCCTTGAGCTCTGATATCAAATTGATGAAGAATACAATCAAACAATTATAGGAGAAGGGAAAAGTGGGGAGAAGAAGAGAGGAGGGAGAAAAGAGAGGAAGAGGGGGAGATACCCTAATTATGATTGCTAAAATAAGCTCCATAATTGAAAACTAAATTAAATATCTCTTTTGATATTCCATCAATTCCTCTCATTCACCATCACGAAACTGGTGACTGCCCCCACTGTGTAATTTTTTTTTTCTTTTGGTGTGCTTGTGTGTTTGCATTTTTTTGACGAGGTTTCGTGATAATTGTCACCGTGTTCTTCTACATGTTACTCTCTGTACTTCTATTTGTGATTGAATGTGCGGTGTCAGTATATGCATGCTCTTTTTTCACTTAATATGTACACATTTCATTCCAACTGTATATGTATTTGCATTAGAACCACATATACATGCAACCTTTTTGAACTGAATGCTGGATTAGATAGGTTGTGATTTGATGGTGCAGTTAGCTTTCTGTTAATTGGTCCTTTGGAGATTTTTTTTTTTTTTTTGGATAAGTAATCAAATAATTTTATTAATGAATGGATAATACATGGGAGGTGTATTACCAATTTAAGCAAGAAAGAAACGACATAAAATTTGACAACCCTTCCATGTGATTAGTGGCCGCAGCATTAAACCAAGTATACAAAGTGATATAAAACAATTCTCTAATTTGCTATGTTGTTCTTGTTTGGTTTTCGAAACAGCGGCTATTTCTTTCTACCCATACACACTATACAATGCATCTCGGAATGAGATTCCACGTAAGCCTACTATCTTTATCTCGAAATTTTTTCCTCCATACCTACAACACGTCTTCTATGCGCCTAGGCAATACCTAATCCAAATATTGGGAAGCTAGAATATCATTCCACAACCACTGAACACCATTACAATGGATGAACAAATGGTCAATCGTTTTCCCATCTCTCTCACGCATAACTCCATTCGGTAACATAAATACCTTTTCTTTGAAGATTATCCACCATTAACATCTGCCCCCTCAGAACCATCCACAATAATAAAGTCACCTATGGAGGCAGTTTACGTTGTCACACCATCTTCCAAGGAAATTGACTCTCCGCCGGTCCCAATATGATCTAAAATAATTGCGAACTGAAAAAATACCATCCGATGCCAACTTCCACCTGCACCGATCATCCTCTCCTACTTGAATATGCGCCTCGTGCAAGGAGGTCCTTTGGAGAATTTTAATTTATGGATGTGATCTTTGCATTTACATTTCATTAGTGTAGATAAGTTACCCATGTTTTTTCTTGAGCATGTTCTTAAGATACATAATATATGTTTTAACATATCTCTATTAGATTGGAATTGAAACTATCTGGATATTAAAATTTGAGTGTTTGACAAAAAGTAACGTCTTATTTCTAACTAAAAGAAATGTCCAAAAAAACTAATATTAACTCCTGAACAACTCTCATCAGCACTTACCTTTCTTTAACAGGCAATAGTTACAATAGCAGATGAGGATGGGAATTACTTACAGGAAGCTTGGGAGCATATTTTAACATGTGTTTCTCGGTTTGAGCATTTGCATCTCTTGGGCGAGGGTTCTCCTCCTGATGCCACTTTCTTTGCATTGTTATCTTCTTTGATGCCGTCCATACCGTGGCACTTCATGCTCACAAGATAAACAGTGATGCAGCATTACGTTCAAAGCTGCAAGAACTTGGATCAATTACTCAAATGCAGGATCCTCCACTACTTCGACTTGAGAAAGAGTCTTATCAAATTTGCCTTATATTTTTGCAGAATCTTGTAGTCAATAGGCCTCTTGGTAGCAAGGAGTCAGAAGTGGAGTCTTACCTTGTGAACCTCTGCCAGGAGATCTTACAGTCCTACATTGAAGGAGTCAAAACCTGAACAGTGAGGCTATAGTTGATTTTGTCAAGGCTCTTTGCAAGGTCTCTATTGAAGAACTGCGATCTACATCCGATCCAAGGATTTTCAGTCTTACAAAGATAGTTGAGATTGCGTATGTATTATGCTCCTTTGGCCTTCTACTTTTCCTGTTATTGGCCTCTTATTGTTGCAACTCTTGAAGCTATGTGTAGCTTAGAAGATTCATCATTTGTGAAGAACCTGCCTTCCTTCTTTCCCTTGCTTTCACGGTTGATAAGTTGTGAACACGGGTCCAATGAGGTTCAAATAGCCTTGAGTGATATGCTTAGTTCGGTGTGTGATATTTTAATCTCTTTCCTTGTGAACAGGCACTATAACATGAACCGTATTAGGCTTGTTTGGTCAAAAATTTGGATAGTGCTCTCTGATTTTTTTGTGACCATTGGCTGTTCAGAGAACCTTTCGATTGCGATTTTTGCAATGGACTCTTTACGTCAGCTATCAATGAAATTCTTGGAGCGTGAAGAGTTGGCCAATTATAATTTTCAAAATGAATTTATGAAGCCTTTTGTAATTGTCATGCGCAAGAGCAGTGCTGTTGAAATCAGAGAGTTGATTATCAGATGCGTTTCTCAGATGGTGTTATCTCGTGTTAACAATGTGAAATCAGGATGGAAGAGCATGTTTATGGTATTTAACTCGACTCCATATATCATTGGGTCATCTTTGTCGAATAAAATTGCTTTTGTATTTGCAAACCATATTCGGATATTTTATATTCACTAATTTCTTTATGATTTCTCATCTAATTATCTGAAAATATGTAGGTTTTTACCACAGCTGCTTATGATGATCATAAAAACATTGTGATGCTGGCTTTTGAAATAATGGAGAAGATTGTGCGAGATTATTTTCCATATATAACTGAAACTGAGACCACCACTTTCACAGACTCTGTAAACTGTCTGATTGCATTCACTAATAGTAGATTCAGCAAAGACATTAGTCTTAATGCCATTGGTTTCCTTCGTTTCTGTGCGGCAAAACTTGCTGAAGGAGATCTAGGAAAGGAAACTTTTGGAAAGGTCTCTGCATCATCACCTCGTGAAGGCAAAGATAAAAAATTTGGCAACGGGGAGTCCATAAATAAGGTGGATCATCTGTATTTTTGGTTTCCTTTGTTGGCTGGTAAGTAAACGCATCTTGTTGTCCATGGTCTATGGTGATTGCTGTCGTAAAAATTGATATTCATTTTATCCTGATAATTTCTCTTCTTTAACTTCTTGGGATAAAAATGTAACCAGTTGAATGAACTAATGTGCTCTCTCCCTCTTTTCTCGCAAGGTTTATCTGAACTTAGCTTCGACCCAAGGCCTGAAATCAGGAAGAGTGCCCTACAAGTGCTCTTTGATACCTTACGCAACTATGGCCAGCACTTTTCTCTGCCATTGTGGGAAAAGGTGTTTGAATCTATCCTATTCC